GCACGTCGTAGATCTCGTTTGCTTTGTATAATTGGCCATAATTCCGTTGTCGTTAATAATACACAATACGATGTCCCCCCAATTACCGATAACTATCGTGCATCCCTTACTTTAATAATGTCATTATCAACAATTTGGGGTTATTACAATCACTGCCAATTAGTCTAGACTTCACTATTTGTGCATGAACTCAGATTAAAGGATTCTTTTTACCCTCATCTGGGGGGGGAAACGCAGTGCAGCTAACCCCTCGTTAGTCACCAAGAATATCCAAATGTACTACGTTACACATGCACTGCACACCTTGTTAGATCTGCTCATACAAAACCAGTTTGCAGTATAGTTTGGTGTTAGCTCTTTTAGGGTAGGGTAAAAAAATGTGCACAAAAAATGAATAAAGAACTGTAAAACTATACTTACCAAAGCACTCTATAAGTTTAAGAATCTTTAGTGGCAATCTATATTCAGGCTACCATTTGAGAGTTCTCTTTCAGACATATGCACTCCGTACCAAACAACCTTGAGAGGTAGACAGCACCACTACACTCCACATTGTGCATTCAACCCCTATGTGCCAACACGGAGCCCTTGTACAATACACCGCACACAGCAGCCCGGACAGGTACTTCCCCACATTGGGGTTTCCCGAAATCCAGGCGCAAAAAGGGCGTTGGACACAGGAAGGGGGGCCCTGCAGGACAGGAAGCTATAGTGTGCCATTACAGTGCAATAATGGGAACAGGATAATAACCTGTTGGTAGCCATGAAATAGGAAGTCTGTGCCAAATCCTTGCTTGCTGTAAGACAAGAAGAAAGTGTGTTTTTAGAAAATGAGACGATACTTTGAGATAGCATTTTAAATTAGCATTCATTTAACCGAGCTCAGAAAAAGGTGGCACCAAGTCATGGTGTTAAAACAGAAGACAATGTACATGTGGAGGTATTTTAAAAAGGGATCAATATGAGAAGTGTTACCTCGCACTAGCTGGGAACACCTCACAACATCAGTGTGTGGATGATCAACTGTTATTTCAAAACCTGCAATAAATAAAAGATGTTTAATGAGGAGGATCAGCCACTGGTGGAAGCACAACGTCAGCAGAAATGTGGCGTAGATTTGCTTAAAAAAGCAACTAAAGAATATTTCATGTTGAATATAAGCTAGCACTCACCCAGGGTTTGCAGCACTATAGTTTCCAGTGCTACAAGCTCTTGTGTCTGTTGCTGGAATGCCTAAAAAAAGACCAATCAATGAACAATTTTAAATCTGTTTACCACCACATTTATACTGATGATTCAACCTGATGTCAGCATTCCTATAAAAATGAAAGTGCTGCAGGCGGCCGGTAACACTGTAAAGCACATGTGTCAAACTCGAGGCCCGGGGGCCACATGAGGCCCTTGGTGGATTTAATTTTGGCCCGCAGGATCATTTCTAATTCCTATTAGATCTGGCCCTCCGGTATATTGCACCACACCTTCACTCCATCCTGAGGGTCTCCTCAGCTCAGAGCCTGAGCCCAAACATTGATGACCTTGCACCCAAGATGAGATGCCAAGTATCTGAACTAGCATCACAGAGCAGCACACTGAGTTTAATGGATGTTTCCTTCTGCACTTTCTCTCTCACGACAACAGGGCACGTTTGGTTTCTCTTTGAGGGAAATAGTTTTGTTGAAGCTGTTGTTGGCCTGAGGGAAAATGTAGCTGTCACGGCTTGGCTCTCAGCCATAACAAACAGGGGTCGTCACATAACCATAAGAAATGAATGCAGCTGATTATTTAATGTTTAATGTTGTTTTTATAGGCAATCATTTAAAGATGACCTATCATGCAAAATGCACCTTTGT